GGTCCAGTAGTTTCGGAGCCTATTCGAAACAAACAAACAAACAAATCTTTCCTCTTTATAATATTAGTATAGATATAGATTTAGAGAGATTGCATAATTAGAGACCTACTAAATGTATTGTTGTTAGGTATTATGTAATTATGGGTATCATTACGTGCTTTTACTTACTAATCCATATCAAATTTAACTTAAAAGCACTTACAAAAAAATATATAAAGGTTTTTATTCTATGTATTTATTAATTTTTTTCGATCCATTTATTTGGCAGAGTTGCAACTTTATACACATGTTCATAGCGTCTAATGATAGTAGACTAGACAAGGTGTAAGGAAAATAAAGTTTCAAAGCGAGACCTCGCGGTACTTAGCAGGAATTTAATTTAATGTGACCCGCTCCGTACAAAAAAATCACAAAACACATTTTTCTGACCCAACTATAAAGTTTTTGTAATTTTTGCCCAAAACAATTATTATTGAGATTAACGAGCTCTATCTATCTACATAAAGAAAAATGTTAAAAAACAAAGTTGGTCCCTAAGTCACTAAAATCATAGTATCGACCCACTGTGCGGCGGACCCAGCCTACAGTCGACGAACCATCGAGGCGATCGGTCCTCTCGGATTGGGTGAATCGCGATCGAGGACTCCTGTGCTTACTGGATACGGCTGCTTTGGCCGCTACCTACACCTCGTCGACGGAGGTAGCCGACGCCAGAGTGTCGGGCGAATTGGCACCGCGAATATAGTGTTGACCGCGGGAACCCTACTCGGCCAGGGTTCTGAACCCCGGGCGAAAATCGGACGTCGCTTGAGAGAGCGCAAGGGGAGTCGTTTGCTGGGTAGGGCCGTAAAATATCCTTAGGTCCGCGGTCCGCTCCCAACAGCTGCGGACCGTCAAGATCCACATACCCCGCATGCTCGCTGGGCGCGGAAAGCTTAAGCACGAGGATCGGCCGCTTGTCCGAAAAAAAAAGGGTGAACGTGCTTTTGGCCTATTGTCGTTAGATGCTCATAAACATCAACAGCGTCAAAGTCCCATCTTAAAACATAATTTTTTTTTATTGCTTAGGTGCTGTTAAGTGGTTACTGAAGCCCATAGACATCTACAACTTAAATGCGCCACCCACCTTGAGATACCTATAAACTCTAAAGTCTCAAGTATAGTTAGAACGGCTGCCCCGCCCTTCAAACCGAAACGCATTACTGATTCCCGGCAGAAATAGGCAGGGCGATGGTACAGACCCGTGCGATCACCCGAGACGCCCTACTATCAGTAATCGAATATCGAAACAAAATATTTAGGTACGTTTCTTAACATGATTTAGTTTAATTATTTGTCCAATTAACATGCTTCGTTTACCCAATTCTTTAATTACCGTGTAGATTAAGTTGTGATTACGAGTNCGGCTGCCCCGCCCTTCAAACCGAAACGCATTACTGATTCCCGGCAGAAATAGGCAGGGCGATGGTACAGACCCGTGCGATCACCCGAGACGCCCTACTATCAGTAATCGAATATCGAAACAAAATATTTAGGTACGTTTCTTAACATGATTTAGTTTAATTATTTGTCCAATTAACATGCTTCGTTTACCCAATTCTTTAATTACCGTGTAGATTAAGTTGTGATTACGAGTCCGAATGTTTGTGGTCATTCGTCATTCTTCTCGGTAGCCAAAATGCAGATAAGGTTTCAAATAGGTACCTACGAAGTCTATTATGATAATGATGATGGTGGTAATGTCTAATAACATCTTACGTATATACCTATCTATAAATTGCATTAAACATATTTAATTGTGAATATCGCTTGATATATACTTACTTATTATACATACACAATTTATTAAGCATAATAATATAAATATCCGATTAGCAGGGAGAATATTTTAAAACAAAGCTTGATATCATTACCTACCGATCGAAAAAACTCATTCAAACTAGACTGGTTTATAACGCTCATTCAAACTAATTCCAGATTATTTAAACTAGGTACCTATTATCGATTCAACATCACAAGTAACCCAGAAACTCTTCTGAGTTACTTGAACAAATACACACAAAAACTGAGTACCAATTCTCTAAGACTTGCCATCGCTCCGAGACATTCGTCACAGCTATTACATTAATCAGAGAAAATTCATTGGAACAAAACAAGAATTGCACTTTGTCATTGCTATACTATAACCTTAAAACAATACTTTAACGGTAATTCTTTTATTTTCTTTCTAGGTACCTTTCTAGGTACGTCACTCATATACATCAGTAGTGTCAGGGGTCTGGCCAAGCCGTAGACTATTGGTTAGGAGGCTCCGCAATCCTCATTTGAAGACGGACATGTCATAGTGCTCAGAAAACACTGTGTAGGTTCAGTCCAGAGCCGGCTGGTAAGTGCCAAAAAAATCTCTGGAAACGCAATGTGGATGAGTGCAACTGTTTTAGGTAGTTTTGGGTTAACTCTGCACAGACGGCGGAAGGTACCATGTTATAAAGGAAATGAAGGGATCCTCTCAATAGTGAATGTATTTTTTTTTCTACCTAAGCTGAGCCTAGCTGGCCTTGAGAGGCTATGTCAGCGTAACCCTAATGTGTAGATGAGCTCTCGGGTCTCAAACCGTTGCTATCACTAGCCCTAGCTACGCAGAATCTAACATCGGATCGGAAACGCGACCCACTGAGAAGATCCGGCGAAAAACACAGTGGGCTGTGTCTATAGGTCTATGGGTTAGTTTACTCGAATATCGTCGAGAATAAGTGACACAGTGAGACTCCTTTTAAAAAAGTCAAAATTCGACGTCGAATAACGTATTAGTCATCCGTGATCACGAAAATTGTAAACTATTCGAAATGTAGGAAACAATTTAATGACAATTAAAAAAATCCGAGATTAGGTCGTAAAAGTAGGTACCTACCTACTTTGAATTTTAACTACAACGCGCCAAAACCTAAAAAAAAACTTCAATAGTGTATGTTTGAGTATTTCCTATATCACCCAACAATGGCTGAACGCATTTGAGTGTAATTTCGTACAAGGACAGTTTATAATCTACGTACATCTACGCTTATATACACATACGTTTTAACATGGTAAATACGATGAGATTTTTTGTCGTAATCTTTCGGTTTTTCTCGCCATTTTCAGTAGTAGTAGTAGTTTTGTTTTTTTTAATTGGAAAGGCAAAGGTGTAATATCACACAGCCTTATCCTTTATATATATTTTTATATAAAAAAATATTAAATGAAATGAAATAAAAATGTTAGTTATTCATTGAGACTTCAGTGGACTTTTTCGAACCTAAGAAGACAGAACCAGCGGCTTTATTTCATTTTCCCACATTAGTGCATTTTCAAATATGCTAAACGGATATGAAACCTAACGGTGGTTTCATATCCGTTTAGCATATTACACGTTATTACACGTTTTAAAATGAAGAAACACTAAAGTAACAAAATAAAATAATTTAACAACTTCATTTCACGCGTGTCCGCCAGAAAGAGTTGATTTTAATCAATTAATGTGTCTATTAATATATATAAATATAATAGCGTACCTATATTAATGTGTGTGTGTTTAATGTGTTTAGAATCAATTAATGTGTAATTAATGTGACAAGGAGTGGAAACATACTTTATACATTCAAAACTAGCAATCACCTAATATTAAAAAATGATATTTAATTTTATTGCTGCCCAGGTCTGTATATTATGTGTCGTTACTGTAATGCGATGAATGCATAATTGAAATAGCTGAATAGAAATTAAAATTTCAGACAAACTGTTTCCAAAACTTAGTGAATTTTGAATAGAAATAAACTTTTTAGCTGGAACATAAAGTGTGAGAGTCAAGTTCAAAACCAGTAGATCATGTTAATGATTTTGACGTTAATAGAAATCGAGTTTTTGATTAAATAAAAACCTGGCAGAAAAACAATGTGAGAAAATTCGAAGTTTACAACTAACAGCCTTAATGTTGTAAATTTACACCTGATAACTCTAGGTTGGAAAATACAACAGTTCATTTGACTTTTTGGCGGGAACGCGAGGAGTGAAGTTGTGCTATTTGTTTTATTTTGTCTATTTAGTGTTTCTTCGGGTTTAAATGTGTAATAACGGTAGTTTATTAACTATTTATTATCTGTGAAAGTGCACAAATGTGGGAAAATGAAACAAAGTCGTTGGACGTAACTTCTCAGGATCCTCCAAAAAGTCCACTGAAGAAACAGTAAATGACCACCATTTTACTGAGATTATATTTCATCCTATATCATCTCATCTCATTTCATTTCATCTCATTTCATCTCATTTCATTTCACTCCATATTATCATTTTTCATCAAAATCAGAATATAAATTAAAATAAGACACGACTTAAAGGTCTTAGTTACCAGGTCATAAAATACTCTTAAAAAAAAGCAACAGTTCATTGCTACCATCAATTTTAATAATACACAGTACACTTAATTAGGTACTAAGTAGGTACGTAGGTACCTATGTACGTCTACAGACATATAATTATAATGGACTTTTTGGCGGGAACGCGAGGAGTGATGTTGTGTGATTTGTTTTATTTTGTCTATTTAGTGTTTCTTCGGGTTTAAATGTGTAATAATGGTGGTTTGTTAACCGTTTAATATCTGTGAAAGTATACAAATGTGGGAAAATGAAATAAAGCCGCTGGACGTAACTTCTCGGGATCCTCCAATAAGTCCACTGAAAAAATCTTAATAAATGACCACCATTTTACTGAGAATAGATTTCATCTTATATCATCTCATTTGATTTCATCCCAATTGATTAATGTCTCAAATTAATCATTTTCATTTCATTTCACTCCATAATATCATTTTTCATAAAATTAAGAATATACATTATAAAAAGACATGACTTAAAGGTCTCAGTAACCAGGTCATAAAATCTCTTATAAAAATATATAATTATAATGATACAGACTTTACAGACAGAACAGACAGAATTCTCAAATATATTAAGTGTATAATCTATGGACAGAATTACTCGTCGCTTGTGCTGTGGACGACGTGGATGCAAGAGCTCAAAACGGTGAGTGCGCACTTTTTGTAAATAAATTGTGTAAAAGGAATTTAAAAGCTCGTAAAAGTAGCTCGGCATTTTAGAAATTACGCATCAATAGTTCTAGTAAATAAAAACAATTTAACAAAGTATTTTTTTATTAAAAGTAAAAAGTACCTACAAAGATACAAGAAGCTAAAAAAAAAATGAAATAAAATAAATATGCAATTTTTTTCTACTTCTCTTTCATAATAACAATTTAAATTTGTAGGTAATTGTAAACTACAATACCCAATAAGTCTAGGGTAGGTACATTATTGGTCATGGAGAGGTTTGCAATATTTTTTCTTGTAATGAAATAATATTTGTTGCTAGAATTTGGTATTTTTTGAATGTTTCAACTTTCAAGAAGATGCTCGGGGTATGTTAGAAACTGCATGACCGAAGTAAAATTTTAAAATGCTATTAACATTCATTTCAGTTTAACTTGTCAACAATAGGCATACACATAGCACAAGACTGAGCATTTAGGTTTAAAATCATGGTAATTGTGGATGTTAATAATTGAGTCGACTATTATCAAAGTCGGCAATCTGACTTTTGGACAATGATTGGTAAATCAGAAAAACGAATTATTGACTTTGTATTCCATTAGCAGTCACAAAACTCTTCGGAACGACATCTTAGGTAAATAACAGGTTAACTATTAACCTTTATTTAATGCATGTTTTGAACCGTATTCTCTGAAGGAGACGATTATATTCAAATCAATCTGTATTGACATATCAATAAAAATTTTTTTTCCAAATGCACAGATTGCCACCTTTGATAATAGACGACTCAATTATGAGTTAATTGGCAGCATTTGTGATATGATGTTTACTGATCTCGTACTATCTACCCGATGGATTTATTTTTATGTATACTTGTTTATTTGTTCAACTTTGTGCCCAAAGGTACGGTGGCGGACTTAATGCCTAAGGAATTCTGTATCAGTCTACTGAGGGTAGTTTAGGGAGTCTTAGGTTAGGTGCATTCCTTTATATAAGAAAAAGAAAAAGAACAATAATATTAAACATATGCAAATGCACGCAAAGCACATGCATACAGTTTTGTAATTATATTTATTCCAAAATTAGCAGAATTTCGTGGATTTCCTGTTCCTGAATTTGATTTAAAGACTGCACGGAAAGCAAATTTTTCCAAAGTGGATATTCTAGGTTAGGTGTTCAATAAATATCAATGATGAGACATTGTTCAAGATTAAAGTTAAATATTTGGTATTGGCCTTTATAGTATTTTACTTAGGTTTTGAGAGCAGCAGACACAATTAAAACTACTTTTATGGCTTAATCTATTATTAATTAATATTACTGGTGGTAGGACTTCTTGTGAGTCTTTCTATTTCTGCCGTGAAGCAGTAATGCGTTTCGGTTTGAAGGGTGGGGCAGCCGCTGTAACTATACTTACTACTTGAGATCTTAGAACTTATATCTCAAGGTGGGTGGCGCATTTACATCGTAGATGTCTATGGGCTCCAGTAACCACTTAACACCAGTTGGGCTGTGAGCTCGTCCACCCATCTAAGCATTAATTTATATTTCAATTATTTTATTTTCAACGTTTCGAATACTTCAGTTTTAATGGTCACAAAACCGTAGTCATGACGGTGAAAATAACAATAAACACTAGATTAAACCACAAAAGTAGTTTGAACCATGCTCATGTTTAACCATGCTTATGCATGACAATATCAATATCGAAATCATTCAATTTCACACATTAGTGCAGTGCATCAGCGATGTCCTAAACTCACCGATCTCAAACCATTCAGCATGTATATAATTTTGCTTACTTGGTCAGCTTTAAGTTACCTTTTCTAATAAATTAACATATGGGGGAAGCTTTTTTCAGATCTCAAAGCATAGAGTATTACATTATGCACTCAATGTGTCATGCCAATGTAGTGTTGTGAGTTTCAGTTGATTATTTAAAAAAATTCAAAACTTTCCCCTTAATGAAGTTTATTCATGATTTGTTTTTTTATATACACATTTATTTGAAGTCTTATAGTAATTTTGTTTTTCACAAAACTGTATTATTTGAAAACTTGGATCAATGTATGCAGTTGGAACACAGATAACAGATAGGGGCTATCTGTGAGTTGGAACGACAAAATCCAAATAAATATTACAATACACCGGGCTCCCTACACTTTGTTTTTTTTTTGCCCCTCTAGGCAGACGGTCATACGGCCCATTTATTGCTTACATGGGTGGATGAGCTTACAGCCCACCTGGTGCTAAGTGGTTAGGAGCTTAGGTGGTTAAGAGGCCATAGACATCTACAACGTAAATGCGCCACCCACCTTGAGATATAAGTTCTAAGGTCTCAAATATAGTTACAACGGCTGCCCTACCCTTCAAACCGAAACGCATAACTGCTTCACGGCCCATTGCGGACCATGAAGCCATTACTGCCATCAAAACAATCACTGCCATCAAAGCCATCACTGCCATCAAAGCCATCACTGCCATCAAAGCCAGCACTGCCCATTTCGGGCCTACATCCTCACAATATACAGTCTGCTAACTGTCCTAATTTTAAATGTACATTTAGTAATCTTTTGCATTTCTTAGTGCATACCAATTCAAAATCGAATGTTTAAAGTAACGTCAAATTGGTGGTAGGACCTCTTGTGAGTCCGCACGGGTAGGTACCCCACCTGCTTCTGCTGTGAAGCAGTAATGCGTTTCGGTTTGAAGGGTGGGGCAGCCGTTGTTATAGCTCTACAAATAAGTCAGCGGTGATATATATCCATCTTTGAAGAATAACTTACTATCCCATCATAAGTTAAAAAAATTGGTCATGTTTAATGCGGTAATTGTATAGCTAATTATTAGCAAATTATCTCAGGTTGAGTCCGTGAACTCACCTATCTGTACGTAGCTGGAATAGCTTCTTAGGCTGCCAGCGAATGGGTTGAGGAAAAAAGCGTAAAAAAAAGTAATTCCTTCTATTTTACTCTGATTAGAAGAGGGCAACAGCTTAAATCAAGGATGAGCAACACGCGGCCCGCCAAGCATTCATAAAATTGAATTTATTTTATCGACTTTCTCCCATTAATTCGTTTTTTTGTTCTTTTCTTTTTGTTTTTAATAATAATAATAGAAATAAAGTTTCGTAATCTCTATATAAAAATGAATTGCTGTTCGTTAGTCTCGCTAAAACTCGAGAACGGCTGGACCGATTTGGCTAATTTTGGTCTTGTATTATTTGTGGAAGTCCAGAGAAGGTTTAAAAGGTAGATAAATGAATGAAAATGCTCGGAATTAAATAAAAATAACAATTTTGTTTTCCGTTTGATGTGTCCGTCTGACGGATTCCTTTTGTTTATTTAAAGTTTATTCTAGACAAAAGTTTAGGTCTTTTATTTATCGATTGAGGCACTACGAAGTCTGCCGGGTCAGCTAGTAGTTAATATATGTGCGGCCCGGCCGGCCAAAAAAATTAAATTTAAAATTGGCCCATTGATTAAAAATGTTGCTCACCCCTAGTCTAGTTGACAATCTCGTTATCACGACTCGTTTTGAAACATAAGTATTGTGAGTCTACGATTGGACTTCGATTGTGTATTTTGTACGTTGATAGTTCGTATGTATTCCCTATGTATTATTCCATATTAGGTACTTATTCGATATTTACTTGCCTACATATGCAGGTACATTGTGCCCATGAACGATCACCCATATACCCTAAACCCACTGTGTTCTATGTTCACGCAGAAATTTCAAGAAATACACTTTTAATAAAACCTATTAAAAGTCACACATTACATATTATATGCAACATAATATTAAAAGTGCACTTTTATTAAACCTATTAAGTGTATTTCTAGAAACATCTTTTCGTTCGTCGGGTCGTATCCTTGTTAGCCTAAGCTAAGTCTCCTTTGGAGGCGTTCTGGTAGCAGTTAGCAAATCCCACTCCTGGCTGAGCCTTTGCTCGCCCACCTTTCCTGGTAACACTGGAAAGGCCTCCGGGCCAGCAGTAAATCCTCAATCTAAAAAAAAATATAAAAAAATATATTCTAATGCATTTCACGGTTAGTGTGATGAAATATGAAGAGCCAGATATTCGGTGTAAGTATTGTTAATATTACTAGAGGTCCCGCAGTAGTTGAAATTCGACTATTATTAATTGGAATTGTAAGTTTGTACACTATTATCATTGTATTTTATACTTTTATAATCACAAATTTCGCCAAGACTACACTAGAAAAATATTAACAAAGACAAACAATATTTAATCTATTCTCAATTTGACAACAGACGTCAAGAACAAAAGATTGACAATAAATAGTATGCATGTGTGTGTGCGTCAAATACACGGTATGTAGTGTGTGTAAGTTTTTCTTTATTGATTTAATGTATCTTTTATGCATTATTTTAAAAAAATATTAGCATTGTGCACTTCTTCTCTATATTCTCTATAAGTGTGAAAAATTTCATACCCCTCCGTCCGCGCAATTTTCGTAAAAAGGGAAACAAAGTTTTTGCTTCACGTATTAATATATAGACATAGCGTTATTTAGGTATCTGAATCGTAAAATAAGAGATAACATTTTATTCCTGTTTTCCGAGTGCAATTCTGGAGGTCATAGAGGAGAATAAATACATAAAGGTAGACTGTTTGCATACGATTCACAATCATAATAGAAGTGTTATAATGAAATCTATATCTATATATACAATACAATACTATATATGAGTCGACTATTATCAAAGCCGGCAATGTGACTTTTGGACAATTATTGGTAAATCAGAAAAACGAATTTTTTACTTTGTATTCCATTGGAAGTCACAAAACTCTTCTGAACGACATCTTAGATAAATAACAGGTTAAGTATTAACCTTTATTTAATGCAGGTTTTGAACCGTATTCTTTGAAGGAGACGATTATATTCAAATCAATCTGTATTGACATATCAATAACATTTTTTTGTCCAAATGCACAGATTGCCACCTTTG